TATACGAAAAAGATACTTGAGGCCAGGTGCGGTGGATCATGCCTGTAATCCAAGCACTTTGGGAGGCCAAGGCGGGCAGATCACGAGGTCAGGAGATCAAGACCATCCTGGCTAACACAGTGAAACCCTGTCTCTACTAAAAATACCAAAACGAAATTAGCCAGGCATGGTAGCGGGCGCCTGTAGTCCCAGCTACTCAGGAGGCTGAGGCAGGAGAATGGCGTCAACCTGGGAGGTGGAGGTTGCAGTGAGCCGAGATAATGCCACTGTACTGCAGCCTGTGCAACAGAGCCAGACCCCATTGCAAAAAAAAAAAAGAAAAAAAGAAAAAGATATTTGTACAAGCAGATTGACTGCAGCACAATCCGTGATTGCAAAAATATGGAACCATTATATATATATATATAAATGGAATACTACACAGTCATAAAAAGAAAATAAATAATGGCATTCAAAGCAACCTGGATGAAGTTGGAGACCATTATTCTAAGTGAATTAACTCTGGTATGGAAAACCAAGCATTGCATGTTCTTACTTATAAATGGGAGCTAAGCTATGAGAACACAAAGACATAAGAATGATACAATGGACTTTGGGAACTGGTGGGGGAAGGGTGGCAGGGAGGTGAGGGACAAAAGACTACACATTGTGTACGATGTACACTAATCGGGTGCTGCATGTACCAAAATCTCAGAAATCACCACCAAAGAACTTATCCATGTAAACAAACACCACCTGTTCCCCAAAAACTATTGGAATTTTAAAATGTTTTAAATAAATAAAATTAAAAGAAATTTTAAAATGGATTATTTGCTTTCAAAAAAAAGAAATCACCACTTGTACAGTTTCTGTGTAATGTGAAATATGAATATCCACAATTACATGAAAAGCTGTTAAAAATAATCCTCCCAGTCCAGGCATGGTAGCTCACACATGTTATTCCAGCTACTGGGAAGGCTAAGGTGAGAGAATCCCTTGAACCCAGGAGTTCGAGGCTGCAGTGAGCTATGATGGCGCCACTGCACTCCAGCCTGGGTGACAGAGAGAGACCCTGTCTCTAAACACAGCAATAATAATCCTTCCTTTTTCAACTCAATATTTGTGTAAGGCTAGATTTTTCAAAACATACACTTCAATCAAAGTAAGAGAATGGCTGGGATGCAGCTGGAGGCCATAAACCTAAGTGACTTAATACAGGAACATAAAACCAAATACTGCATCTTCTCACTTATAATTGGGAGGTAAACACTGAGCGCACATGGACATAAACATGCGTACAACAGACACTGCAGACGACTAGAGTGGAGAGGGTGGGGACATGGGTTGAAAAACTACCTGGGGGGGGGGGGGGGGGGGGGGGGGGGGGGGGGGGGGGTGGGGACTATGGGGGAAAACTAAAAAAAAAAAAAAAAAAAAAAAAAAAACTACCTGTAGGTACTTGTTCACTACCTGAGTGACAGGATCCATACCCCAAACCTCAGCATCAGACAACATACCCATGTAACAAATCGGCACATGTACCCCCTGTATCTATTTTTTTTTTTTTTTTTTTTTTTGGAGACAGTTTCACTCTTGTTGCTCAGGTTGGAGTGCAATGGCGTGATCTCGGCTCACCGCAACCTCCGCCTCCCGGGTTCAAGCGATTCTCCTGCCTCAGCCTCCTGAGTAGCTGGGATTACAGGCATGCACCACCACGCCCGGCTACTTTTGTATTTTTAGTAGAGACGGGGTTTCTGCATGTTGATCCAGCTGGTCTCAAACTCCCGATCTCAGGTGATCCATCTGCCTCAGCCTCCCAAAAGTGCTGGGATTACAGGCGTGAGCCACCGCGCCCGGCCACTCCCTGTATCTAAAATAAAAGTCAAAATTTTAAAAACTAGTAAAGAAGAGAATGTATGCTATGAGCCAAAATGACGCTTGCAAAATTTTCCAAGAACGACACGAAAATGAAAAATAATCACTCTTCTTGTTACCAAAAATCTTGGTAGCTGCAGAAGGTGGGATCTTTCCTCATTGGGAGTCGCAGAGCCAATACATGAAACCGAAAGTGAGCCTCAAGCAGAGCAAGTTTTATTTCCTGCACAGGACTTCTAAAGACTAGAACAACTCTCCCCAAATCAACTTCTCCGCTAGTGAGGCGGCTAGTGAGGAGTGAGGGGGCTAAAATGTAGTATTGCTCTAATGGAGGAATTGGGCATTAAAAGTGAAGGGGAGGAATATTCATATGTTTTATGGGAACAGGCATTGAACTTCTCCAAACCGGTAATACTGCTTTCCTTTCGGTCCTTTTAGGACTTCTACTCACTGTCATGGAGATTGTCAACTGTCAAGGCACGGATGGGAGTGCAATTTAGCTTGGAAACGGGATTACAATGAAGCGTGAGGTCTTTCTGAAGTCATTTGGCCGGCTCTCTTGGTTGTAACGAGTCTCAGCTGGTTTGACCTTAAAGGCAACTTCTGAATCAGATCCTGTTTTTTTGTTTTTGTTTTTGTTTTTTGTTTCTTGTTTTTTTCCCCAGACGTCTCCCTCTGTCGCCCAGGCTGGAGTGCAGTGGTGTGATCTCAGCTCACTGCAACCACCACCTCCCGGGTTCAAGCAATTCTCCTGTCTCAGCCTCCCGAGTGGCTGGAATTACAGGCATGCACCACCACACCCAGCTAATTTTTGTATTGTTAGTAGGAAGGGGTTTCATCATGTTGGCCAGGTTAGTCTTGAACTCTTGACCTCGTGATCTGCCCGCCCCGGCCTACCAAAATGCTGGGATTACAGGCGTGAGCCACCGTGCCCTGCCTATACATTGTTAATTTTGGAAAAATTAAAAGTTAGGCGGTTTTTTTTCATTAAAAATATGTTATTTCCGGCCGGGCGCGGTGGCTCAAGCCTGTAATCCCAGCACTTTGGGAGGCCAAGACGGGCGGATCACAAGGTCAGGAGATCGAGACCATCCTGGCTAACACGGTGAAACCCCGTCTCTATTAAGAAATACAAAAAACTAGCCGGCGTAGTGGCGGGCGCCTGTAGTCCCAGCTACTCGGGAGGCTGAGGCCGGAGAATGGCGTGAACCCGGGAGGCGGAGCTTGCAGTGAGCTGAGATCCGGCCACTGCACTCCAGCCTGGGCGACAGAGCGAGACTCCGTCTCAAAAAAAAAAAAAAAAAAAAATGTTATTTCCGCTCAAGAGATCAAGACCATCCTGGCCAACATGGTGAAACCCCGTGTCTACTAAAAACACAAAAATCAGCTGGGCGTGGTGGCGCACGCCTGTAGTCCCAGTTACTGGGGAGGCTGAGGCAGGAGAATCGCTTGAACCTAGGAGGAGGTTGCGGTGAGCCGAGATCGTTCCACTGCACTCCAGCCTGGGGACAGAGCAAGACTGACTCAAAAAAACAAAAAAAAAAAAAAAAAGTTGCTTCCATTAACATGTAATGGGTTATTAATATATTAAATGAATTAATATTTTTAATATTTTGTTTTAATCTGTTTTAATTTATATATGATAAAACTTGATACAAGCCACAGAAACAAAATTTATTTGGGTCCTCACTAATTTCTTTTTTCTTGTTACCCAGGCTGGAGGGCAATGGCGGGATCTTGGCTCACCGCAACCTCCACCTCCTGGGTTCAAGCGATTCTCCTGCCTCTACCTCCCAAATAGCCAGGCCTCTACCTCCCAAATAGGCAGGATTACAGTCATGCGCCACCGCCACGCCCGGCTAATTTTTTGGATTTTTAGTAGAGATGGGGTTTCTCCATATTGGTCAGGCTGGTCTCGAACTCCCAACCTCAGGTGATCAGCCCGCCTCGGCCTCCCAAAGTGCTGGGAGTACAGGCTTCAGCCACTGCGCCCAACCGGGTCCTCACTAATTTCTAAGGGTGCACAGAGATACTGAAACCTAAAAGTTTAAGAACGGCGGGCTGATTGCTGGGTGCGGTGGCTCACGCCTGTAATTCCAACACTTTGGGATTTAAAACAATACAGTATTTAACAATACAGGCTCACGCCTGTAAACACAGTACCTTGGGAGGCCGACGTGGACGAATCGCTTGAACCCAGAAGTTTGAGACTAGCCTTGGCAACATGGCGAAAACCCGACTCTACAAAATATAAAAAAAAAAAAATCGCCGGGTAGGTGGGTAGCGGTGGCTGACGCCTGTAATCCCAGCACTTTGGGAGGCTGAGGCGGGTGGATCACGAGGTCAAGAGATCGAGACCATCCTGGCTAACACAGTGAAACCCCGTCTCTACTAAAAATACAAAAAATTAGCCGGGCGTGGTGGCGGGTGCCTGTAGTCCCAGCTACTCGGGAGGCTGAGGCAGGAGAATGGTGTGAACCCGGGAGGCGGAGGCTGCAGTGAGCCGAGATCGTGCCACTGCACTCCAGCCTGGGCAACAAAGTGAGACTGTCTCAGAAAAAAAAAAAAAAAAAATGTCCGGGCAGGGTGGCTCATGCCGGTAATCCTATGCCGGTAATCCTAGCACTTTGAGAGGCCCAGATGGGAGGATCCCTTTAGTCCAGAAGTTCGAGACCAGCCTGGTCAACGGAGCGAGACACCCCACCCCCCCCAACACACACAGACACACACACACACACACACCCAGCTCCAAAAAACACACACACACGAAAATAACACTGATTTACACAGTTTACACAGTCCCTGAGCCAGGACTCAGAGAGAGAGTGTAACAAAGAGCGCTCGGATCAGGAGGTGAGAGCGCAGAACAATGTTCCATGTCCTCGGGCGTGGTTGTCAGGGTCTCAGGCCCCAAGGGCAGAGTGTGGAGATCTGGGGCAGTGTTGGAGATTCCACATCACTTTCATTTCCTCTCGTAACCTGGTCGTGTCCTTCTTCCTGGATACTCATGACGCAGACTCAGTTCTCATTCCCAATGGGTGTCGGGTTTCTAGAGAAGCCAATCAGCGTCGCCACGACTCCCGACTATAAAGTCCGCACGCACCCACCCGGATTCAGGAGGCTCTACCGACTCAGAGAATGGGGTCATGGCACTACGAACCCTACTTCTGCTCTCGGCCCTTACCAAGACCTGGGCGGGTGAGTGCGGGGTCGGGATGGAAGCGGCCTCTACCCGGAGGAGAGAGGGGCCGGACCGGCGGGGGCGCAGGACTCGGGGAGCCTCCGGGAGTAGGGCCGGACCGGTCTCAGCCCCTCCTCGCCCCCAGGCTCCCACTCCTTGAAGTATTTCCACACTTCCGTGTCCCGGCCCGGCCGCGGGGGGCCCCGCTTCATCTCCGTGGGCTACGTGGACGACACCCAGTTCGTGCGGTATGACAGCGACGCCGCGAGTCCGAGGATGGAGCCGCGGGCGCCGTGGGTGGAGCAGGAGGGGCCGGAGTATTGGGACCAGGAGACACGGAGCGCCAGGGACACCGCACAGACTTTCCGAGTGAACCTGGAGACCCTGCGCGGCTACTACAACCAGAGCGAGGCCGGTGAGTGACCCCGGCCCGGGGCGCAGGTCACGACCCCTCCCCATCCCTCACGGACATCGTGGGTTCCCTCGAGTCTCAGGGTCCAAGATTCACCCCCAGGCTGTGGAACCCGCCCAGACCCTCGACCCGGCAGAGTCCCAGGCTCCTTTACCCGGTTTCGTTTTCAGTTTAGGCCAAAATCCCTGCGGGTTGGCGGCGACAGGGGCGGGGCTCGGTGGGCGGGACTGACTAGCGGGCGGGGCCAGGGTCTCATACCCTCCAGTGGATGCATGGCTGCGACCTGGGGCCGGACGGGCGCTTCCTCCGCGGGTATGAACAGTTCGCCTACGACGGCAAGGATTATCTCACCCTGAATGAGGACCTGCGCTCCTGGTCCGCGGTGGACACGGCGGCTCAAATCTCCGAGCAAAAGTCAAATGATGGCTCTGAGGCTGAGCACCAGAGAGCCTACCTGGAAGACACATGCGTGGAGTGGCTCCACAGATACCTGGAGAATGGGAAGGAGACGCTGCAGCGCTCGGGTAAGAGGGTCCACAGGGCTACTCTCCCATCTCCTTCTTGGGCTAGGACTGTGCCCACAGCTGACAGACCTCAAACAGTAGAAGACGCAGGGATGGAAGCCAGAATACCCCTCCTCCCTTGGATCAGGAGAGGGGGCTGTCACCCCAGGTACAGGAGATCCTGTACCAGAGAGTGACTCTCTTAAATGACCAGCCTTCTGTCAGGGACAATTAAGGAATCTAGTCCCGCTGGAGAGTCCATTCTTCAAATGAACTGATGAGCAGTTCTCTTTGACTCTCAGTGTTAGGAATCATGGGGGAGTTTCTCTCGTGCCTGGTTCTCAGCCCCACACCAAGAGTTTTTGGAGGTCTGACTCCAGCTTTTCTCAGTCACTCAGCATCCGCACAGGCCAGGACCAGAAATCCCTTTTCACCTTCTGTCCTGGGCTATCTCACCCCGATTCTAGAACTTTCCAAGGAATAAGAGGCTATCCCAGATCCCTAAGTTCAGGCTGGTGTCAAGGTTTTGTCCTCATCTCCTACTATAATTGTCCTCTTTCTTCTCAGGATGGTCACATGGGTGCTGCTGGAGTGTCCCATGAGAGATACACAGTGAATTTTCTGACTCTTCCCCTCAGAACCCCCAAAGACACACGTGACCCACCACCCCGTCTCTGATCATGAGGCCACCCTGAGGTGCTGGGCCCTGGGCTTCTATCCTGCGGAGATCACAGTGACCTGGCAGCGGGATGGGGAGGACCAGACCCAGGACACGGAGCTTGTGGAGACCAGGCCTGCAGGGGATGGAACTTTCCAGAAGTGGGCAGCTGTGGTGGTACCTTCTGGAGAGGAGCAGAGATACACGTGCCATGTGCAGCATGAGGGGCTACCCGAGCCCCTCACCCTGAGATGGGGTAAGGAAGGGAATGGGAGGTCATATCTCTTAGGGAAAGCAGGAGCCCTTCTGAAGCCCTTTTGCAGGGTCAGGGCTGAGGCCTGGGGGTCAGGGCCCCTTACGTTCCCCTGTTTTCCCAGAGCCGTCTTCCCCGTCCACCATCCCCATCGTGGGCATCAGTGCTGGCCTGGTTCTCCTTGGAGCTGTGGTTGGAGCTGTGGTTGCTGCTGTGATGTGGAGGAGGAAGAGCTCAGGTGGGGAAGGGAGAGGGGTAGAGTCTGAGTTTTCTTGTCCCACTGGGGGTTTCAAGCCCTAGGTAGAAGTGTGTCCTGCCTTATTACTGGGAAGCACCATCCACACTCACGGGCCGACCCAGCCCGGGCCCTGTGTGCCAGCACCTACTCTTTTTTTTGAGATGGAATCTTGGCTCTGTCACCCAGGCTGGAGTGCAATGGCGTGGTTTCAGTTCACTGTAACCTCTGCCTCCCAGGTTCAAGCGATTCTCCTGCCTCAGCCTCCTGAGTAGCTGGGACTACATGTGCATGCCACCACACCCGGCTAATTTTTTTTTGTACTTTTAGTAGAGATGGGGTTTCACTGTGTTGGCCAGGCTGGTGTCGAACTCCTGACCTCGTGATCCACCTGCCTCGGCCTCACAAAGTGCTGGGATTACAGGCGTGAGCCACCACGCCTGTGGTACCTGTGACAATGAAGGACAGATTTATCACCTTGATGATTGTGGTGATGGGGATCTGAGCCCAGCAGTCACGGGTCACAGGGGAAGGTCCGTGCTGAGGACAGACCTCAGGAGGGCAGTTGGTCCAGGACCCACAATTGCTTTCTTCATGTTTCCTGATCCTGCCCTGGGTCTGCAGTCACAGTTCTGGATACTTCTCTAGGATCCAAGACTAGGAGGTTCCTCTAGGACCTTATGGCCCTGCCTCCTCCCTGGCCCCTCACAGGACATTTTCTTCTAACAGGTAGAAAAGGAGGGAGCTACTCTCAGGCTTCGTGTAAGTAGGGGGCAGGAGTGTGGAGGAGCTCGCCCACCCCATAATTCCTCCTGCACCACATCTCCTGTGGGCTCTAACCAGGTCTTGTTTTTGTTCTACCCCAGGTAGCGACAGTACCCAGGGATCTGAAGAGTCTCTCACAGCTTATAAAAGTGAGATTCTGGGGGTCTGAAGTGGGTGGAGGATGGGGCAGATGGGACAGGACTGGGTTGTGGGGATTTTTTGCTTTGGAATTTTTGAGTGTGTGGTGGGCTGTTCAGAGTGTCATCACTTACTGTAACTGACCTGAATTTGTTCATGACTGTTTTCTTCTGTAGCCTGAGACAGCTGCCTTGTGTGCAACTGAGATGCAGGATTTCTTCACGCCTCCCCTTTGTGTCTTAAGGGACTCTGGCTTCTCTTTTTGCAAGGGCCTCTGAATCTGTCTTTGTCCCTGTTAGCATAATATGAGGAGGCAAACATCCACCTCCATGTCTACCATGACCCCCTTCCTCACACTGACCTGTGTGCCTTCCCTGTTCTCCTACTTTTCTATTAAAAATAAGAAACTGAGCAGTGCACGGCGGCTCACACCTATAATCCCAGCACTTTGGGAGGCCGAGGCAGGCAGATCACGAGGTCAGGAGATCGAAACCAACACGGTGAAACCCTGTCTCTACTAAAAAATACAAAAAATTAGCTGGGCATGGTGGCAGGCACCTGTAGTCCCAGCTACTCAGGAGGCTGAGGCAGGAGAATGATGTCATCCCAGGAGGCAGAGGTTGCTGTGCGCCGAGATTGTGCCACTGCACTCCGGCCTGAGTGACAGGGTGAGACTCTGTCTCAAAAAATAAAAATTAAAAAAAAAAAAGAACCAGGATCTCAATTTATTTTTTCATATTCTGCAGTGAAATGGAGTTGAGGAAGCTAAGGTCATAGTTAGAAATACAGACAGATAATTCCACAGCACATCTCTGGCAAATTTAGCCTATTCCTTACCACCTGTAATCTTGACCATATACCTTGGAGTTGAATATTGTTTTCATACTGCTTTGGTTTGAATGTTCCTTCCAACACTCATGTTGAGACTTAATCCCTAATGTGGCAATACTGAAAGGTGGAGCCTTTGAGATGTCATTGGATGATAAGGCTCTACCTTCATTCATGGGTTAATGGATTAATGGGTTATCACAGGAATGGGACTGGTGGCTTTATAAGAAGAGGAAAAGAGAACTGAGCTAGCATGCCCAGCCCACAGAGACCCTCCACTAGAGTAATGCCAAGTGGAAATGTGAGGTGCAGCTGCCACAGAGAGCCCCCACCAGGGAAATGTCTAGTGTCTAGTGGATCCAGGCCGCAGGAGAGTGCATTGTGGAGCGGTGGGAGCAGGACCTGACCACCACCAGGACACCAGAACTGTGGAGTCAGTGGCAGCATGCAACGCCCCCTTCGGAAAGCTTCAGGCACCAGCCTATAACCCATTCGAGCAGCCATGTAGGCTGCACCTAGCAAAGCCATAGGCACAGGGCTACCTGAGGTCTTGGGGGCCCAATCCCTGCTCCAGTGTGTCTGTGAGGCAGCACATGGAGTCAAAAGAGATTATTCTCTTCCCACAGATACCTTTTCTCTCCTATGGCCCTTTAACAGCATCTGCTTCATTCCCCTCACCTTCTCAAGCTGAGCTGAAGTAAACTTTGAAGTAAAATAAAAGCTGTGTTTGAGCATCATTTGTATTTCATTTGTGCATTTTGTGCCTTTTTTTTTTTTTTAAACCACATTCAAGCTATCCTTGGGCTTCCAATGCCATGGTCCACCCAGAACTGCATTCACTGGCCAGTGTTCTAGTTCTGGTCATGCCGACTTTCCCCTTTTTCCTGGTGAATCCCTGTAATCACCTGAGTCTCATTCTGTCAGGTGATATCCAATGAGAAGGCAATATGTGTGGTGAAAAGCCCAGGGAGTCCTGGGTGTGAATTTTTACTTTGCCGTTTCTTCCTGTGTTAAACGCAGTGGGGCTTCACCTGTCTGGGCTCCAGTTCCTCATCTTGTATATGGCACTGTTTTCTTGGGAGAGTCTTTATAAAGCTAATATAAAGTATCTGTGCCGGGCACGGTGGCTCAAGCCTGTAATCCCAGCACTTTGGGAGGCCGAGACGGGTGGATCACGAGGTCAGGAGATAGAGACCATCCTGGCTAACACGGTGAAACCCCGTCTCTACTAAAAAATACAAAAAACTAGCCGGGCAAGGTGGCGGGCGCCTGTAGTCCCAGCTACTTGGGAGGCTGAGGCAGGAGAAGGCCGTGAACCCGGGAGGCGGAGCTTGCAGTGAGCTGAGATCCGGCCACTGCACTCCAGCCTGGGCGACAGAGCGAGACTCTGTCTCAAAAAAAATAAATAAAAAAAATAAAGTATCTGTGCTGTGGTTTGAATGTGTCCTCCAAAAAGCATGTGTTGGAAACTGAATCCACAATGCAACCATATTGAGAAGTGAAGCCTAATAACTGGCTGGCCATGGGGGTTCCAACTTTATGAATGGATTAATACTGATTTTAAAAGGGCTTGAGGTTGAGGCAAGTTCAACCTCTTGCCCTCACTCACCCACTTGCCTCTACCAAGAGATGATACAGCAAAAAGACTCACCAAATGCCGGGATCTTGATATTAGACTTCTTGTCCTCCAGAACCATGAAATAGACTGCTATGCTTTATAAAATACTCAGTCTGTGGCATTCTATTACAGCAACACAAAATGGTCAACCTGATATTTCGGTTTCAGTTAGTGGTAGGTATTTTTATTTCAAGCATTCCTACTAAAGTATTAGTTTCTTCGTAAGCCCAGAATCTGCATTTTAGCAACAACAAAGACGTCTTTTTTGTTTGTTTTTTTGTTTTTGTTTTTTTTTTGAGACTGAGTTTCACTCTTGTCACCTAGGCTAGAGTACAATGGCATGATCTTGGCTCACCGCAAACTTGGCCTCCTGGGTTTAAGTGATTCTCCTGCCTTAGCCTCCCAAGTAGCTGGGATTACAGGCACGCGCTACCAAGCCCAGCTAATTTTTGTATTTTTAGTAGAGATGGGGGTTTCACCATGTTGGCCAGCTGGTCTCGAACTCCTGATCTCAGGTGATCCACCCACCTCAGCCTCCCAAAGTGCTGGGATTGTAGGCATGAGCCACCGCACTCCACCAGAAGTCAATTGATGCAAAGAAAATTGATCTATAGATTTGATGGAAATTTGGACTCCTACATCCTATTTTTTAAAGAATTGAAGGGAAACTGTTACTCCTTATTAGTGTCCCAGAAAGATGAACTGTTTTCCTTCTCTACTTGGTCTGCCCATTTCTACTTCCTGCCATATCGGCAGGCTATGTTTGCCTTACCTCAAAGATCTGCCTTCCTCAGTTTTAGATCTTAAATCTTTTTAAGCCAAACTCCAAGGAATCTTTTACAAATATTTATTGAACCCTTCCTGTGTTCACAGAATGTTGTGAGGTCCAGGGTGGGACTAGGTGGCGAGAAAAGTTCCTGCACTGAAGGAACCTAAGATTTAGTAACAATGAATAAACAGACTTAAAGATAACTATTGTGGTTAGTGCTGAAAGAAACGTACAAAATGCTAAAAGTCAGGGAGGAAACTGTTTTCTAGGACAGTGGTTCCCAACATTTTTGGCACAAGGGACTGGTTTCATGGAAGACAATTTTTCGGAGGGGTGGTTTGGGGATGATTCAAGCACATAACATTTATTGTGGACTTTATTTATATTATTACATTGTAATATATAATGAAATAATTATACAACTCACCATAATGTAAAGTCAGTAGGAGCCCTGAGCTTGTTTTCCTGCAATGAGACAGTCCCATCTGAGGGTGATGGGAGACACTGACAGGTCATCAGGCATTAGATTCTCATAGGAGTGAGCAACCTAGATCCCTCGCATGCACAGTTCACAATATGGTTCACACTCCCATGAGAATCTAATGCCACTGCTGATCTGACAGGAGGCAGAGCTCGGGTGCTAATGCTTGGTCGCCTGCCACTCACCTCCTGCTGGGCGGCCCAGTTCCTAACAGGCCGTGGACTGATACCAGTCCATGGCCCACGGGTTGGGAACCCCTATTTTAGGAGACTTCAGATTTTCCAAGGAAGAAATGTTTGAGTTATGCTTTGAAAAATGTAAGATACCACTGTAGATGTTTTAATCAGGGAATTGGGTTATTACCAAAAAAATGTTGGAAGGATGAAAGAGTAGGTTCTTTATGCCTGCTGCCTTGACCCTGGAACAATTTAGAACCAGCCCAGTGAGGCACCTACTCCCTATGAGGCCACACAGGAGCTGTGCTTTCTTAGACCTGGATCCCACTACCACATAGGGGTTCCTGGGCACCTGGACACCACGGAAGAGAGGTCAACCAGGTCCCACTCCTCTGGCATGACACTCAGTGATTCAGTCAGGATACTGTTGGGAAAACAGCCCATGCCACAGGACTTCTCCATGGTTGGAAAAGTCTTGAATAGCTAAAAGCAAAACAGGATAGTTAGGCTGCATTATGTAGATAAAGGTGACTCATGGGCAGGCCCTGCCTCCTTGGGCCATCATATGTGAACAGATCTTTGTGTGATTATGGGATAATCCTGGGTTCCTTTCTCCATGTGCCTGTTCTTAATTGGCCCAGGAGAGGGAACTCAAGGAAAGGAGGAACCTGAGTGATCTTGTCCTCTTTTGACATCTCATTTCTAGCCACAAGATTATGAATCATAGATCTCTAGATGTCAGTGTTCCTAGAGGAAAAAAGCAATCTGCCATAGCAGCAGAATGAAAGGGAGACAGCTACTCCTATTACTACATTTTAACAGCCTCTCTCAGTCAGCTAGCCCAGACTAGGATCTTAATGGAGACTGGGACTTACTTCCATATATTGTAAATGATGTAACCTTGTCTTCATGCTGATCTTAAATATATCTTGATGAACAGTATAAGGAAGCAAATGAAGGCTTGGCGCGGTGGCTCACGCCTGTAATCCTAGCACTTTGGGAAGCCAAGGTGGGTGGATCACCTGAGGTCGGGAGTTCGAGATCAGCCTGACCAACATGGAGAAACCCCGTCTCTACCAAAAATACAAAATTAGTTGGGTGTGGTAGCACATGCCTGTAATCCTAGCTACTCAGGAGG